CTGTGGGTGGAGTGTACCCTATGCGCTCACGCACGAAGTCGCATGTGAACAGGACTTCCGTAGATGCGAAGATTAGCGAACTGGAAGACGCGGAAGACGAAGATGCTGGTCTGCGCGATGAGCGCGATTTTAAACGCAGCCAGGTACGGGCGTACACGACTGGTGCGAAACCAGCCTACTGACAGGACGCAGGTATTCAGTCTCACACAGATCCTCGTCCTCGCGTACCAATCTACCGGTGTCATCTATGGCGACATTGGGACATCCCCCCTCTATGTTTACTCCTCGACGTTTACAGAGGCTCCTACTCGAATCAATCTGCTTGGTGCTTTGTCGCTGATATTGTGGTCTGTCACCTTGATGGTCACTGTCAAATACGTCTTGATTATTCTGCACGCCGACAACGATGGAGAGGGTGGTACATTCAGCACATACTCTCTCCTCTCAAAATATGTATGCTACTCAAACTCACACATGATCTTCGGCCACTAATGCATGCAGGCGAACATTGCCAACAGAGATCCTCGTGAAGCTACTCTGATACGTGAGTGTGCTTCCTGCACTAGTTCCTCATCTATACTGACTCTTTTGGCAGGCATGCAGCGACACAATACAAACGATCTGGGCCGGTCCACGAGAAATATTCGCTCAACGATCGAAAAGTCCAAGTTCTTTCGCGGCTTGCTGCAGGTCATTGGTGTACTCGCCGTATCGATGGTCATGGCTGATGGCGTGCTGACTCCTGCTCAATCCGTCTTGGGCGCCGTACAAGGTCTCAACGTCGTGAAGCCCGACATCGAGAAGTCTACTATTATCGGTGTTACATGCGCTATTCTTGTTCTTTTGTTCGTCGTACAGCCGCTTGGTATTTCGAAACTAACGTTCGTCTTCTCACCCATTGTCATTTTATGGCTGGCCTTGAACGCTGGATTCGGTATATACAACTTGGCCAAGTAAGTATTCTTGTTGCATCATAGTACCCCTGACTAATAGTTCTAGGCACGATCATACGATCTTGAAGGCTTTCAACCCTTTCTATGCGTTCGACTACCTGATAAGAAACAAGTATGAAGGATGGAGGAGCCTTGGAGGTATACTCCTCGCCTTCACAGGTGTTGAAGCTCTGTTTGCCGATATTGGAGCTTTCAGTCGTCGTGCGGTTCAGATCAGTTGGCTTGGATACGCCTATCCTTGTCTTCTCCTTGCCTACAGCGGCCAGGCTGCGTACATCAGTGTACACCCAGAGGCCTACTCCAACCCTTTCTACAACTGTGCTCCGCCGGGATGGCTCATTTTCTCGCTTATCGTAGCTATCGCAGCTGCCATTGTCGCGTCACAGGCTATGATCACTGCGACATTCCAGCTCCTTACCCAGATCATGAAGCTCTCGTACTTCCCCCAGATCAAGGTTGTTCACACTTCGACAACCTACCATGGACAGTTGTACATTCCAAGCATCAACTGGCTTCTCATGATCGGCACTGTACTCGTTGCTGCCATCTACAACAACACAACATCCTTGGGTAATGCCTACGGTGTATGCGTCATGTTCGTCACATTCTTCGACACGTGCATGGTCACGCTTGTTGCAATCTTGGTGTGGCGCATCAAGCCATATTTCGTGCTTCTCCCTTGGCTTACTATCGCTGCTCTGGACGGCGCATACCTATCCTCGGCACTTACCAAAGTACCAGATGGAGCCTGGTTCACTATTCTTCTGGCCTGTCTTCTCGGATCCATATTCATTCTCTGGCGTTTCGGCAAAGAGCAACAGTGGGGTGCGGAAGCTAGTGATCGCTTCCCAACAACACACTTCGTCAAGACATTACAAGACGGCCGCCTTGAATTGACCGAGATGTTTGGCAGCAAATCAGTCGGAACCATGGAGGGTTTCGGAATCTTTTTCGACAAAGCTGGCGAGACGACTCCTATTGTCTTTAGTCAGTTCATTCGAAAGCTGGTGACGATCCCCGAAGTTATCGTTTTCTTTCATCTTCGGCCGCTAGAGGTACCTTTCGTTGCCCCGGACAATCGGTACAGCGTTTCACGACTAGCAATTCCCAACTGCTACCGATTAGTAGTACGCCATGGGTATATGGACGAAGTCATTACACCAGATTTGGCCTCCCTCATCCATGAGAAAGTTCGCAACCACATCGTCGCACGGGCTCTTGAACGCGAAGGTGAGATACCTACGAAGGCTACCAGCGTTCAGACTGAAAAGAACGGTACTGTTGAGACTGTCGCTGGAAGCGGCATATCTACTCCAACACGTAGCTCAACGACCTCCGCGCGCTTAGAAGCTCTCGAACGCGCATACAACCACGAGGTATTGTACATCATCGGCAAAGAAGCAATGAAGGTCAAGGTTGGCACAAACATCATCAGACGGTTCTTCCTAAAGGCTTTCTTGTTCATCCGGGAGAACTCGAGGGCGAAGATTGCTAGTTTAAGTGTTCCGATGGACAAGGTTATCGAAGTTGGTTTTGTTAAGGATGTCTGATTTAGGCATTTGTTACCTGGCAACATGAGGCCAGAAGATTTCATCATACATCGGTGCGTTTGCAAACGACTCCATATAATAAACATTGACCTGATAAAACCTTTACATGATGGTTTTGTCTTCTCGATTTTGCAAGTGCTAACGAATTGCGTTGGTGTGCCTTCCGAAACATCATTCGATCCCTTTACGCTCCGCCTCGTTCTGATCAATTTCTCGTGGCTCTTTTCGGACCCCAAGGGCTTGTCTTCATGCGCGGTTTGGCGAAAGTGGTATCGCTTATGCGCATCGACATTGCCAAGGCGGAGGCGCCGTTACCTTGCCGCGTATCACGTCGTCTCGGTCATAGCTGCCCACTCCGCTCACTCCGTCATGTTCAGCAGTTCCTCGCGTTCCGAGAACGCGTACTGCCCGAGATGGTGGGTTCTAATTGCTTGTGATCAGCGTCTAAATTTCCGAAGATGACAACGAAAACATGTGGCTTTACAAGGTCCACGTTGGATCGTGCCGCATGCCGTGCCGTGGCGTGTATCCCCGTTGCGCCAAACAAATCAGCGCGCCGGATGAGGCGTGACGATGTTCTGTTATTTCTTCTTTGCATGAGTGCGATCTTGGGCATCATTTAGGGTAGAGGCTTGGTCCCCGTGCAGGTGTACCTGAAATGAGTCGCTTCGCCTCCGCCTTGCGTAGTGGATGGTCTGTTTACTCCCTTCTCCGGCGCTGACTCCCGAATCTGCTGTCTCAGCATGGCGATAGATCTTTATGAATGGGCGTATGCCGTCGCTTACATCACTTTCTCTATCGGATTACTGTCATCCATTGCGCGTTTCTACTCTCGCGCACTGATTTTAAAATCATGGGGTTGGGATGATACAGCTTCGTGTGCTGTACTGGTACACTATGGCCAACCTACGAAGTCTCTACCACTGCTTACTGTGCCAGGTCGTTAGTATTGTCCACCAAGTTGTTTTGCAAATGTTCCTAAATCTAGGATGTGGCAAGTGAGTTGAAGTGTGAAAGTTTGAGGCATGACGAAGACTTCCCCTCTGACTGCAATAGGTCAGGCAATCTAAATTGCAGCTTTCAGTCCCTTGATCTTCTTCGGGTAAGTCTTCAGCATAGCACCATCTCAAGAGATACAAGAGCTAAACCAGCACACAGACAGCGTTTATTGAAGAGATTGTTATCTACGGCGCGCATTCAGTCATCAAGATTACCTTCCTTTTGTTCTACCTACGGCTCTCTGTCGACCTGGTGTTTCGCAGCCTAGTTTATCTTGGCTTTGCACTCGCATTCTCCGTCTTTCTATCTAGTCTGTAAGTCATATGATCCTACCTTTCACAGCGTCGCAGACTGATAGTATCTAGGCTTATGACAGTCTTGCAATGCGTGCCTTTTGAGAAGATCCTCAATCCCATGTTGCACCCCGAGGTTACTTGCATCGACATGCGTACTATCATGCTCACTCCACCTATTCTTGTACGTAGTGACTCTCGGCACCGTTGCATTGTAGTTCGTCGTCTCTGCATACTGTATGAATACTGACGGATAGTTTCCTAGAACATTCTAATGGACCTCTATATCATCTGCCTCCCGATGCCCTCCGTTCTGTCGCTCCGAATGAACTTGCGTCGCAAAGTTACTGTTATCTCCGTTCTCGCCTTTGGTATAATCTCCGTCACCGTCGCGATCCTCCGCCTACCAGTCCTTATATCTGTGTCCTCGATGAAGACAGATGCCTCGATAGATGTAGGGAAGATGATCATTGTTGCATCGTTCGAGGTCCAATGTGCCATTGTGGCGGTTAACCTGCCTGCGATGAAAGCACTTTGGACTAAGGTCAGAGGTAAATACAGCTCAGCCGGCAGTAATGAGCCATCCTTGGAAAACCTATACTCCCTCTCTTTTATACGTAGAGGCAAGCGGGGCGAGCGAAACAAGCACTCTTCTATGGGATCCATTACGAGGCTGGAGAATGGTCTTACCACTAACGAGTCGCAAGAAGAGCTCGTCGAAGGCAAAGTCAAACAACAAGGATTAGCAACAGGTGAAATTAAGGAGCTACATTTCACCAACTCAGGAGGTTTGCGACAGCAGCCGACCGTCACTATGACTGATGTATATGCGCAAGGCTCACCTAACATGGCACTACAACAAGCAAGTTGCTCCGGAAATTTACGATAGACTTGGGTTATGACTCGAAATGCTGAAGTACTCTATACTTTGATCTTGAAATCGCAGCCCTTAATGCTTCACCTAGTGTTGTGGCCATGACTCCTTGGAGAAGTTTGTAGGATTCCGTCCTTGTCCGCGCTAACAGGGCATAAAGTATCGATTGGGTTAGAGTTGCATCCCACTATTCCTAATTGATTCGAGATCCGAGACCAAGACTCCCATCCCACTTCGCTGTGCCGCAGCATATCTTCCGGCTCGCGCAGAATCTACGGCTCAAGGTTTTGTACAAACCAAAGTAGCTCTTGGGTATTCTTACAACGTTGATATGGACTGGCTATTAATCATTTCTCTTGCAAGCGTCAGTCTCTTGACCCTGCTCACATGGCGTCGGTACTTCTCAGCGATCAGCGATATTCCTGGGCCGTTTGCTGCTTCGTTTACCCGCCTTTGGCATATGCACCGTATCCTCAAGGGTGATCAAAATCTCGAGCTGATACGACTACACCAACAACATGGTAAGCTTATACGATGTGTAAGGCTATCTGTCGTTGGACATCCGCTCACAGACCTTATAGGTCACTTCGTTCGCATATCATACGACGAAGTAAGCGTCAGTCACCCAGATGCCATTGCGAAGATCTTGTTAGCGCCCCTTCACAAGGTATTATGCAGACAAGACCTCTGATCGAATGGATGTTTGACATGATCACAAGGCCAATTGGTACAAAATCCATGCTCTGCCAGACTACCGCTTTCAATCGCCCATGAGTACCACAGACCCCAAGAAGAAGATCGAAAAGTCAAAGCACATCGCTGCGGCATACACCGTGTCTAATTTACTCCGTTCAGAAGAGCACATCGACCGCACCTTTGAGTCTTTCCTCGAATGGATGAACAAATATGCAACAGACAAGAAACCAATGGACCTCAACACCTTCATCTCATACGCAACCTTTGACGTCATTGGTGAAGTCGTCTTCTCGAAGTCTTTCGGCTTCCTTGACCAAGGCAAAGACATCGGCAACTCAATCGAGAATTCCCTTGCTCTGAACGCATACGTTGCAGTAGCGGGCTACTTCCGCTGGATCAACATTGCGCTGCTGGCCAACCCAATCATGACCTGGCTCTCCATACTACCAATGGGTCATTTATTCGACACCGTTAAAGCCGTATTGACAGAAAGGGAAAAGAATGAAAACGCCCGTTATGATGCTGTTCAATACTGGTTCAAGCAACATGAGCGACATCCGGATAAATTCACCATACGGGAGATCAATACCCAGGCACTTGCTGCCGTAGGGGCAGGATCTGATACCGTGGCTGCGGGAATACAGTCGTTTATCTATCACATGATTCGTCACGCTGACGCATGGGAGCGTGCTCATGACGAGGTTGCTGAAGCAGTCAAGAAGGGATTGTGTAGAGATCGGGTGGTGTCATATGCTGATGCACAGCAACTTGGGTAAGAAGGCAGTCCTCAAACCCTGCTCGTGAAGCTGTTTCAGACTGACGATGAACAGTTTTGTGCAAGCATGCGTGAAAGAGGCTCTTCGAGTCTTTGGTCCTGTCCCTATGGGCCTTCCGCGTATTGCGCCCAAGGGAGGGTTGACTATTGGCCATCGTACTATACCTGAGGGGACCATTGTCTCAATCAACCGTAAGTATAGAGATGACGAGTACCCCATCTGCTGGCTGAGCTGATTCTTTATCGTAAACCGTAGCATGGGTCATACATTATTCAAAGGAGATATGGGGTGCCGATGCGCATGTTTTCAGACCAGAGCGGTGGTTGGAAGAAGACAGCGGTACAAGAGAAAAGTTTTGGATGCCTGTGAGTAGAGCCGCTTGTTTCGTATCGATCTGGTCTTTGAGGCTGGAAATACATGCTGACTGATCTGCATAGTTTGGAGCAGGTTACGGTGGTTGTCCAGGACAAAATATTGCCAAGATTGAGCTCGCCAAGATTGCGGCGACGTTGGTAAGGGATTACAATATTAAACAGGTAAACTCGACGCAAGACTGGCAGTGGAAGGCTTACTTTACGGTTGTTCCGCATTCATGGCCGGTGTATGTCGAGAAGAGAAGGTGATATGGGGTTACAGGTATGAAAATGTTCATTAGTGTTCGTGATGGGGGTATACAACCACAATAAAAGCCAAACTTCAAACTCCCAAATCCAGCGGATAAACTCCAGATCGTCCTCAACAAAGGGAAATATACACTACATCCACCGATCCATAGTCCCAAACGGCGGATACTTCAATCCACTTGGTCTTCTCCTCCTCATCCACCTCCCACCTCCACTTGCACTACTCCCCACGGTACTACTTATGCAATCCCAATCCCACGGGGTTTGTTTACCCAAGACTTCGTAACCGGCAACTCTGCGTAAGGTACCTCGCGTTCGCTCTTGTTGGACGCTGCGGAGAGCGGCGCGGGTGCTTTCTCGGACTGTTGTTGTACTTGTTGTCGGCTCAACGATTTGGGTATGGTAGGTGGGTTGACGAGGACGAGGGCGAGAAGCTGGCGGGCAGCGAGATGGCTCGCGGGTTGGTGGCGGAGGACAAGGGGCTGAAATAGTGCGTTGTCTGCCTGGGCCTCGAAGGCGAACTTCTGTAATGTCGGACATACTAAGGTCGTGGTGGTGATAATGGCCGTGAATTGGATGCATGTGCAGTGGGTGCAAATGCGGATGTCTGTGGTGATGATTTAGGTGTGCGTCAAAGTGCGCGTGATGGTGTCCACCCTTTTCATCCACCTCGAGGGTTATGTTAGGCACTTTGACGCGAACGTCGCTGAAACGCGGCGATGCTGGACTACGATGGACGCGAACGAGTTCCTCCGCACATGAAGAGTCTGTAGAAGGGCGATTTTGCTTTCCCCCTTTGGCTGGTGTTAGGGTGAACCAGCACATGTCTGCTGCGTGTCGAGGATATATCGACACCAGAATCGATGCGCGTGGGCAAGGGGTGAAGTGCTGTCGGCGGGGCAAGACGATGGTAACCAGTATAAGAAAAGGCTGGTGTGTAGCTTGAAGGCGGTCTCGAGGGCTGATAGTACGAATAAGGTGTTGTATCGTATTGGGGCATTCAGAAGACTTGAAAGAAGACAAGACAATGGAAACAGGCGGTACTTTAACCTACGACTGACACACAATAGACATATGATCAAATCCTTTCTTACTTTTTCTAACGAGGCGTCCTTGTATGTATATAACACTGCCCTCAAAGATCATTCGTTACCATCATGCACGCAGCGCCGGACTTGCACGCGGGCCGCACATCTGCAAGTAGTGAAGGGAACAAATGAGACAGTGGGTAAGAACGGTGCCTGCATGATTGTTGATGGTGCCTGCATATAGGCAATGCAAACATGTGTTCAAGTCCGCTGGGCGAGTGACGGAGGCTGATGAGGGTGGGAGATGAGCGCGTGGGCGGGCGCGATGTCTTGCCTGACCTCAAGTCTCAACGGGCGGCATGTGACGCTTGAGCCCAAAAGCCCGTTCGTGCCTTGGATGATGAGAGGACTTGCACTACTGGATGACGTATGTGAGAATGCAATATGGTCGCACAGAAACTCTTCCTACTGTATCTCCCTTCTCTTTGTCTTGGAAAAAAAGTCGGTGCTATTGCGACAGTCAACGACGTTGCGCGACGAACGCGCAGTGCTCATCACGGCTGCTATTGTGCAAGTGGCGGTGTCTGCGAAGTCAATAGCGAAGAGAGAAGGGTGTGATGGAGGCCAGAGCACCTCATGTGGCTCTTTTGCTCTACTAAAGCCTACGCGCAAAGGCGGTTGAAAAAGCAGCAATGTGTGGTGTAGTAGACAGTGCCCTAGATGCGACTGCCCAGGTGGTGAAGGCAACAGCTAGGACGCGGCTACGTCTTGGCATTACCGACAACGCCGGAGCTTCGAGCTCACATCACCACTCCAAACAACCAAACCGCCCCACCGCAACCACTCGATCACGTCTCTGATACCCTCTGATCTCCGCCAATACATATCGCCGCAACTATGGATTCATTAGTGTCGCAGTATAGCCGACCGGCGTATACAGAGGAAGGCCCGTCAGAGGAAGAGCAGTTGCAGCTCTACAGCGGCACCCCAGAGCTGTCCCTCAAGTTTGCCTTACCACCAGTCGCTCAGGTGCGCTCTATCATGCCCGTACAATAGAGAGCGCGACGTGCTAACAACAACACAGTCAGCATCATGGCTCCGCGCAATGACGGACGACTACTCCAACCCCAACTGCCCCATCAAGATTGCCCACGGTACCACAACCCTCGCCTTCCGCTTCAAGGGTGGCATCATCGTAGCCACCGATTCGCGTGCAACAGCTGGAAACTGGATAGCCAGTCAGACGGTCAAGAAGGTTATTGAGATCAACAACTGCTTGCTAGGAACCATGGCTGGTGGCGCTGCTGTACGTACAATCACCACTACGACAAGAAGACAGAAAGGAACCTGAATACTGATGCAGGACAGGACTGCCAATACTGGCTCGCATACCTAGGCATGCAATGTCGCCTCCACGAACTCCGACACAAGCGCCGTATCTCCGTCGCTGCAGCCTCCAAGATCCTAGCCAATCTTGTCTACTCATACAAGGGCATGGGTCTAAGTATGGTACGTCTCCCCCGTTCCTCGTCAACCTATCTACTTTGCTGAACTAACACTCTACGCTCAGGGAACCATGTGCGCCGGCGTAACCCCACAAGAAGGCCCCGCCCTCTACTACATCGACAGCGACGGAACCCGTCTAGCCGGCAACCTCTTCTGTGTCGGCTCCGGTCAGACATTCGCATACGGTGTGCTTGACGCACAGTACAAGTACGACCTTGAGGACGACGAGGCGCTCGAGCTTGGCCGAAGGAGTATTCTCGCTGCTACCCACAGGGATGCGTACTCTGGTGGTTTCATCAACCTGTACCACGTCAAGGAGGATGGTTGGGTCAAGCACGGCTTCAACGACACGAATCCCATCTTCTGGGAGACGAAGCTCAAGAAGGGCGAGTTCTCCAATGTTACTAGTGCGTTGGAGTAGGCGACTACAAAGTCACTGGAGGGCCTGAAAGTCGCCCAATAGTAGCGCTGGGCGGATCAAGGCAGATGGCAGCTCATGATTGCTGCAGTGTAGCATTGAAAGAACATTACGACTAGACATGTCCAATGAAATGACGGAACACAAGGAGAATATACCCAAAATGCATACACTGTGACTTTTCCCAATAGAGTGGTAGCGCACATTACTACGTATTACCTTGAGCATACATGTTGGCACATGGGTATGTCATTCACTAAAATCGAGCTTCTTTGGGTCAACTTCGTTCGAACATGTTTCCATTTCCATGATGGGTCGATTAGTTCCAATCATCTATGATACCATACATGCATCCCGCCTGCCGCTAACAATAAGAAAGCACAGTCCACGCTGGCTGACAAACGCCTCCTTCCCCTCCTTGTGACTGGAAAAGAAAAAGAAAAGAAAGGTTGCAATATACACTATCCCAGTGTCAAGTAGTTGGGGTATAAGCAAAAACGCCGTGCAAATCCATTCATCCCGTTACAGAGATATGTTGTAAACGCCGGTGTCCCAAATCAATGCAGAATAAGGAAAAGTCGAAATTGTGAAAACTCAAAGAACGAGAGGAAAGGAAAAACAAAAAGAGAGAGAAAGGCCTTTGGTGATAGTGGCGTGCAAGACAAAGAGACAGAAAGGTCAACGACTTCGTCTTCTCAACCCCAAATCCTCTTGCTGCAGTTGCTTGATAAGATCGAAGCTCGCTTGATCAAGATTTGGGTCAATCATGTTGAGCATGTTGCCCATGTCCATAGCTCCATTCATGCCCACACTGATACCCATGCCCGTACCCATGCTTATACCATGTTCGAGCTTGATCCCGCCTGTCCCGTTGTCTCGCCGCTTGCTAGGCGTTGATTTAGGCGTCTTGCTGTTGCGACCAGCGCGCGAGGGCGTGTGGCTAGGTTTGCGGCCTGACGACTGTTGTGTACGAGCTTTGTATGAGCTGTTGAGCGTGGGTGTGATAGGTGGGGGAGGGAAATCAGAGTTTGTGGTAAAGTTGTTGTAGTTGTTTGTAGCGGGGGAGGTCATGTAGGGACTGTAGGTATGGTGGTTGCTGTTGTTGGTATTTATTGGAGGAGATGCTGCGGAGACGTGTCTGGGCGAGACCGGTGATGATGGGTGGCGGACGGCGTGATTTTCTGGTCCAGACTTCGAGACGTAACCGTTTGTATGCGTCTGTGAGGTGTCGTTGTGGGGCGGTGGACCCGGTGTGAGCGGCTCCACGCTGGGACCGTGTACTTCTCCGTTGTGCCCTGTGAGCTCCATTCCGTCCATAAGCATCGGGTCGATCGGTTGATACTCGACTGATGACATGACGGTATCGCCATTCGTGTGATACGAGTTGGTCATATCCACATGATTGTAGTCGCCATTGGTATACGCCTGGAGGGCAGGGTCAACAGGCGCGAGATCATCATTTTCGGGGCTTTGGTCCAACGCTTGCTGGGCGGAGTAGGCCATCTCCTGGAGAAACGACGAACCACTGCTAAATTGATTTGGCAGTGAATGTCGTGTGTGTATGTCTCCATGCAGATATTCGTCATCGTATGAAGACTCGTGTCTCATCCGTTTCGCTCTTGAATCTGTGTCTTCGTCGCTGACCCTTCGTTTCTTTGACGCAGAACCACGTGGAATGGGAATCTCGTTAGCCTTGACAGGATCAACGTTGCCGTATTCGTCATGTATGCAGCGACGCTTGCTCTTCCTACAATCAGCACACGCCTTGACTCTGCCAGATTTGAGGGCATAAGGGTCGCCGTTCACGTCAGCCATGATTGGACCACCGTTCACTGGCCCATTGGCGGCATTCGATAAACTATCTGCCACGGAGTGATCACTAAGCCGACGTTTGACAGATATGCCATATGACCCAGAAAGGTCGATGGTGTGCATGCCCGGCTTCGATGTGTCGATCAGCTCATCTTTGTGTTTGCATCTGATTCGGCGTTTCCTACACGCATCGCATGCAACACGCTTCGGGCCAAGCTGAGATGTTTTCGGTGTCGTAATGTGCGGGTTGCTTGCCGATGGTCGCAGAAAACCTGTCAGTGGACCGGAAGTGACAGAGACCATATCAAAGTGGTTGTAATTCTCCACCTCTACTGGGGGTGAAGGCTCGGGGATGACGTCAGAGGCCTTAATACGGGCCGAAGACCTCTCTGCCGTTGCTCGTAAGGCTTCATGGAGCGTCTCGCGCTCCAGCCTCTTCACTTGAGCAGCACTCAGCTTCTTTTCGGTGGTCTCCATCACTTCGGGCAGGACAGCATCGGAGAAAGCCCATGATGGTATAGTCTCGTTCCCACGCTTCCATGCAATCCACATCGCAAAGCGTCGCGCTAGCACGAGCGGCTCGCCATGGCCCTTAGGAATCGATTTGTTGACAGCACTTCGGGTTTTTTGTGGCACATCAATCTTTCCCTCGGTGATTAGGACTGTTCTCCAAATGTAGTTCAACAGATCACTCAGCCCTTCCAGTTCGTGCTTGGAGTAGTATCGTTTGTTGTAGTTTTGTGCGCCAAGGTGTGAGTTGTGACCAAACTTTTCCGGCTCGCAGTAGACAGGTGTCGACCGCTTAAACTGCTCGCCGCTCTGTAGGAGCTCTTGGACTGGACCGGGAATAGGGTCCTCTTCCAGATATTTGATGGCGGTCAACCACATTATCTTCTGGAAAAAGGGATATCGGAACTGAGTAGCCACCTTGGTGTTCTTCTCGATCTCCAAGATCTTTATCTGCATACCGTAATGTATGCGTGTAAGGAAGTTGCCTCCAATGACGAGGCTGTCCTCGGGAGTCCAGACCGCGTGGATCCAACCGGAAGGAATCAACATGGTATCTCCAGGATACAGATCCACTCGGTAACATTCTTTGACTTGTTTGCCAAGCCAGTCGTGCCCTTGATTCGGTGAGAGACACCATTCTTCGTACTTTTTGAGGTTTTGCTTTGTTGGTGGGATAAAGAAGAAGACCTTCTTTCCTTTCACGATGTGGTAGTACACGGATGAACCACCAAAGTCGATGTGGAAATCGGTGAAGCAGTCCGCGACAGACATCAGACAGTAAAACTGCACTGGTGGCGGCGCAGACTTGTCATCTTCTCGCCACACGGCGTCCTGTAGATCCATATCTCGAACAGCCTTGGGTCGTCTGATCAGCTTTCCCAGCTTACTTCGAGATACCTCCAGACTGATAACATTCCGCACGGGCTTTTCTCCTTGTTGCTCGTAGTAGTCTGCCCACTTTCCCATAGTCCACTTCTTGCCTTCGCCTTCTTGTGCTTTGACGTCAATTACGGGGACAGGTTCGTTTGGACCGTACAGTTCCGCTACACGGCGAACGGTCAGACCCTTAGGTATGACCATGTCAAGGCTGTCTTGACCGTCATCGGCGACTGTCTCGTACTCGTATTGTAGTTTTGGCCCATCTGCCTGCCCATCGATGTCTTCCATAGCAACATCCTCCTCTGTTGTCGCCGGCGGAGTGTTCATGTCGCCAGGGATAACAATGGGCTCCTTGAATCCATTCATCTTCTCGAGAAAGTCACCAGTGATGAGTTGCGCCGGCATGCGCGCAAACGTCTCCGGCGTGAACTCAATGTCGCCATTCTTGAAAGCTGCGATGTAGTGATGTTCCGGATTGTCGTCAGATGTTTTGAGAACACCCTCGTTTAGACCGGCGTAGTCAACAGTTGTGTGGGCTCTGACGGATTTACGAACCTCTGGACCATGTTAGAACTATAAGCCCAATGTGCGTCGGTAGACCTACTCGTTGTTTCACCAAACTTGGGTCTACACGGTTCGCAGTAGAATTTGTTTACCTCCCGTACCTCCCGTTCGCTGTTGAAACCAGCGCAAGGGTAGTGATACCATTCTTTGCAGCCATCGCAGCCGATCCATTGCTCGCCGTCGCCGATTTTGATGGGTGATTCGGACGATTTGCAGTGGGCGCATATGAGTTCTGGTTCGACCGGAGCGGGTGCGAGCTGAGCGACTGCATCAACAGGAGTTGGAACGGCTGTCTGCGTACCGAGGGGTAGCGATTTCGCACGCGAGTAGTTCGATAGAGGCGGGCCGTCTGGTAGTGCTGGCGCCGAGGTCGAGAAGGAATGGCGACGGGCTTGTGAGGGCGAGGTTTGTGCTGGTTCAGCCTGAGATACGGTAGGCACAGAGCCGTCCGCTGCGACAGTAGCAGACTGATCCGCAGGCAGACTCAGTGGCGACTGGAGTTGGTCTGGGGCTCCAGAAGTACTTGTAGACGTCGCGTTCTTCGGTTTGGGCGTCGACTTCTTCCGTTTGCTACTCGCTGAGGGTGTGCTACGGGATGCGCGCCCTTTCCCTTTGGGCAAGCCCTGGCCCTTTTTTGCCTTTGGCTCTTCCGCGGGAACGGCATCTTGCATCTCGACCTCAGGCTGTGTAACTACGATGAGAGCTTCGTCAGGCGGTGTATGTGTTTGCGCAGCCGAGGTGGTCTGGGGCACATCGGAAGGTGCCTCTAAAGGGTGTTTCATGTCAACGGGTGCCTGCGTAGGCTGGCTGTAGTGGTTCGGCGGCGGCGGCGGCGGTGGTGGCGCTACGTAAGGATTTGCAGGCTCTTGCTTGTGATTTATCTGGTGTGGAGGTTGTTCAGCCGGCGCTGTTTGTGGAATGGTCAACCGCTTTGCTGTCGAGGGTGGGGAATGCGCAGTTTGTGTGGAAACTTTGAAGAAGTCCAGCAACAGCTGAGCTTCAACAAGGCGGTCGTCTGGTACGCTACTGTTTTGGTGCATGCGACTGCCGCCATCTGCCATCTGCTCGACGTTGTAGGACCAGCCCGGGTTATGACTCGTAGCGGGTCTCGACTGAGACTGCCCATACTGGGGAGAGCCATAGACTTCGGAGCGCGCTCTCTTCGCAGGCCGCTCGTCGAAAGGATGTGAAGCGTCTCTGGGCAGAGCGTGTGCTGGGGCGCGTTCGCCGGTCGGGTAAGGGCCGGTCGTGGGCGAGGCGGCCGAGAATGAAGCATGGCGCGAATAGCCAACATATTGCGGAATGGCATGCCGGCGTGTCACAGCGACATCCGCAAGGGCCTCAATGGGCGATGCCTGCGCCAGAGAATACTGCGGCGGAGGAGGTGCGGAGCGCGCCGAGTGCCCACACGTCACCACCGGCGATGGGTGCTCCGCAGACGCGCGCGCGCCTTCCCCGAGAGCAGATGCATTTTTTAGAGCGTCATTGATATGCCTTGTGCTTGATAGCGACGCGGTTGGGATATTCGCATTGCCGGCGGGGTGCGCTGTCGAGGGCTCTGTCGGCGACAGGATGGGCGACAGCGGCTCGTAGACGGGCGGCGGAGGGGTAGGGGCGCGCGCCGAAGCTCGCCTGTACTGCTCTTTGAAGGATGAGATTCGTCTCATGGTGGTTGTGTGTGCGGAGGTGGGTGGGCTAGGGCCTCGGAGGTGCGAGGTACTCGTCGGTTTGGCGTCTCAGACAGATGCGCGGCTATGGAGCAGCGGCACTAAAAGCTGAGAGACGGGCGAAGGAGCAGTCGGGCATGGGCATGTCCTGCTTCGAGGCGACGGTTGGCGCGGTCGAGGGTGAACGAGTGTAGGGGGTGGTTAGGTAGGAGAACGATGGTGGTGGAGAAGTCGGCGGGGATTGTATTGGGAATGTTGCGACCGGACACCCAGACAATCGCTGAACCAGAGACTCGGCCACGCCAGCGCCGGCAACACACGCAGAGCGCCGTATGTAGAGAGGGCAAGATGCGGCGGCTCGACACGCAGCTCTAAGTGCATGTGTCTGTAGTGTGCGAATGGTTGGATGGCTATGGGAGCTCTCCGAGTCGACAAGCCGCTTCATTCATTCGCTGCAAGTCCGCGTCTCCGATTCGAGCGCTCAATTATTTGGCACCAGCTGCTACAGCTGTGCAGTTGCGTTGCCTTAGGCTTTGTGCGACAGCTACTACGTCTCCTCCATCGTCATCTACACAGCGTCTTCATGAGCAAACAGCGTCGCCCTTGCAGTGCATTCACAGCACCATCTCGGCGTTGCATGAGTCGCTCCTTCTTCCCGATCATATGCGTTCGCCACGTGATGCGGCCTTGCCAACGCTCGGACGTGCACGCCATCCATGATTGATCCCGCATGTTCACCAACTCAACTTCCCACTACAACCTCCCCACCACCCGCCCAAGCCTACACACCCAGCAGCCCGTCTTTTACCGTCCATCTCAGTCGCCAAAGTATGAGTCGAGGAGGAAAATTGGCACCGGAAGTCAACCGGTATGTCCGCCTTCTCCGCATCGCGTGCCAATCGCAAGGCTGGTGCGACCAACTCACACGACATCTGCGCTAACATGTCATTTCTCCAGAGCTCTCTTCGTAAAGAATCTGAGGTCAGTCGGAGCTGGAGCTATCTAATTTGCCATGCGCTGACCCTTCTGCAGCTTCAACGTCACCCCAGAGGAACTCTTTGACCTCTTTGGCAAGTTCGGCCCCGTGCGGTACGTCGTCTTCCTTATGCGCTGGCGCATCTTGCCCGCTACCGTCGCTCCAGTTCACTAACTCCAGCACAGCCAGATCCGCCAAGGAATCGCCAACAACACCAAGGGCACAGCCTTCGTCGTCTATGAAGATGTAATGGACGCAAAGTCGGCTTGCGACAAGCTGAACGGCTTCAACTTCCAGAACAGATACCTCGTCGGTAAGTAGCAGGCGCGTCTTCGAGACAGCAACCACTGATAGTCGCAGTATTATATCACCAGCCAGATAAGATGCTCAAGGCCGCAAATGATCTCGCCGAGCGCCAAGAGAACTTAGAAAAGCTCAAAAAACAACACGGTATTGATTAGGGGTGCGAGAGGCCTCAGGAACAGGTGACATCGCGCGAGCGAAGTAAAGACAAGACTCCTGTGGGCCTCAAGACCGATAGCGTAATCTCTAGACGCTCTTCGAGCCGCGGCGGCGATACGCGCACCTCGACGACCAACTCGATTTTAGCGGAAAAGACCGGCGCTCCTTCTCCGACGACTACAACTACTGCATGTCGCAGCTGCGACTGGCGTACTGTCAAGCAATCGTTGAAGGGCTTATTCAAGTCGGCACACGGCGTTAAGAGGTCATGACACGTTCACGAACCATGACGGATTGCTGCATTTTCTTGGAGTGGGATCTTTACTTAGGATAGCCGGTAAAGCATAGGGCTATATCAGATTGCAACAGGCCAGGCTCCTTCTACACCGGACAGTCGGTACGAGTCCGACTGGGAATCAAGGAATTCTTGTTCCAGCATTTGCATTAGATACAGTGACTCTACTAACATATTGAATATGCAAAGGTGACAACTTGAGGGCCGTCGCACCTTCCGCTTTCGGCTGCCATCTACGAATCAACACAGCCACTGCTACGGAACTAATACGGCCATTTGGCCGAGCTCATGGTTTGCGCCAACCCAGTCGAATCCCTTTTCGAAATCGCCAAGTCCAAACTTAGTCACGGCATCGTGACCCCTCTGTTTTCCAAGCTTCAACACTCCCGCTTCAGCCATTTTGATAATCTCTTTCACATCCTCTCCCCAGTACATGGCATGACCATGAACTGTAATACTCTTGTACACCAACTCCATCATCGATATCTCGACGTGCTTCATGGCGCCACCACCAAAGCCCATGATGCATACTCTTCCATACTGCTTGAGTGCACCGAAAGCTGCTCGAACATGCGTACTTCCCTCAGCTCCCGTGGGCGTCATCTCGAGGACAGCATCCACGGGGCCATACTGTTGCAGAGCTTTGATATCCGTGTCGACGTCGTTCGTCCGTGGAATCCTTGAGACGAGTTGAGGATGCGCAGACACTAAACGTTCAAGCGCGCGCTCGTTGCGTCCTGTCGCTAAGACAGTAGCACCCATCGCAACTGCCACACCCACAGCCGCACCCGAGAAGATACCCGTAGCAGGCGTGACAATGATCCTCTCCCCGGCCGTCAGCCCAATGCCTTTGAGTCCACTGTATGCAACAACATCCACGCTTAACTGCACCAGTTCGGGAATCGTATATCCCAACTCTTTACAAAGCCGATTCTCATTCAGCGCCCAAGTCACTTCTAAAGGCGCTTTCGCATATTCGGAAAACGTGGCATACCGCCAGTTCTCAGCAAAAAGCTTCTTTGATCCTTCACTGGAGCCTTCCATTGCGCCCCAGAAGATCCACGTATCTGGATCGTCGCGAGCGCGGATGAATGGCTCCAGTAGAACGAGCTGGCCGATGGGTAGTGATGTTGTGTCTGGTCCTGTAGCAGCGACTCTGCCCACGGCTCGGCCACCGGGAGTCATAGGGACGGGGTAAGTGAAACCAGCTTCTCCAGACAGGATTCCTGGAGTCTGATGTTGTAGGAGGTTGGCGAGAATCTTGACGACGACGGAACCGGGTCCAGGTTGGGGGGTTGAGACCTCCTTGAGGACGAGGGGACCGTTCTTGGTCTCTTGAAAGAGGGCCTTCATGGTCGGGGGAATGGGAGCAGAAGACATGCTGGGATATAGGTAAGAGTGGAACTTCTGATGGTCTGAGAGTTCTGAACAAAGAAGTGGGTTGAGATTGATATCTTTTGTCCTGTTTCTCCATTCTTTCTGGTTGCGCGCGACTGTACTTATACTTCTCCAACACTACGTACAATCCTTCTACTATGGCCATCTAACCCGTCCCGTTCCAGCCTACCGGTCTCTTTCCTGCATAGCGACACGTCCTTCCCTCTCGGAGTTTACCAATATCAGCTACTTGCCGGACTTTGGTACAGTCCGACATGGAATTTGCGACGCAAAATGCGAATACATACTTAGGCATGCCATCGTCGCTCACCTCGCTGTACAGCCAATCAGAATGACAATGACCGTTGTTATACGAACGCGGGTTAGATCGAACTCTTAGCGCGAAATCTTATGGGCCCTCCCTAGGTCGTTGTATGCGCCACGACCTCATCGCTTACGCCCTGCTACCACCGGTGATGAACAAGGCTAAACTCCGATGCCCGCTGTATATAACATGCGGAGAGACACAAACGCCATGACATGTCTCTGCGCAACACGAACGCGGGTTAGATTAGTTCAACCCACCCCTGTCTTGCCTGTCTTGCCAATCCACTCTTAGCCGTCGATCATGCCAGCCATCGTATCCAAACGTGGGACCATGATAGAACGGAAGAGACGGGTCCATGCGAAGTCAAGAAAAGGGTGTGAGAATTGCAAACTGAGACGAGTCAAGGTTAGTCTTCGTCTATGACGATCCTTCGAGAATGCTTGAACTGGGTCGGACTGGGCTGACGGAATGTACCATGGGAATAGTGCGATGAAACGAGACCACGGTGCAAAAAATGCAAGAGCTACGGTGTAGTTTGTGACTTCAGTGGTGAAAAAGGCGATTTGGATGTACGTATGATGGGTGTAGGAAGAGTTGATTTCGACGCAGCGGTTGTGAAGCCAGGGGCGATCAATAACGTGCCGTCAAATGCGCTGTCGAATGACTGGACAAGCAGCAATCTTGGCACACCGTGGTGTTCTGTATCGATGAACAGCACCTTGGCTTCTATGATCGAGAGTTCTCTCCAATCCGGGTATTCAGATCCAGACGTATGTTTGGGCCCTGGTGCTGCGTTACGAACTGTCAATTCGTCTTGGAAATTCTCAGAGACTCATCTGGAGATTCTTGAGAGGTTCCAAAGTCGGACGTCTCTGACTGTTGGAGGTATGGATCACGGTTTGGTACGAAGTAGCCTTCAGCTGACTGACCCTACCTAGATGAGAGAATGGCCCCAGCATACAGGGAAATAGTATGCGAACTCGCGTTCAAAGTACCTCCTGCCCCTTTGTGCGCAGCCATAAAGCAATGCTAACTATACTCAGCACCCCTTCTTGATGCACATGATCCTCGGCTTGACTTTAATGCACGACTCATCGCTTTCTCTTCCTTACTCCACTTCCCAATCCGCAACGCTCCAGCGCAAGTCTCTCTACCACTGGGACCAAGCGACCACTCTCTACCACCGCATACTGAATGGTCCCATACCACCTTCTCATCGCGACGCTATCTGGGCCACCGGAGTGCACCTCGGTGCCGCATCCTTCTGGTACCTTGAATCCGACGACCCCTATACTGTCTGGCCTTTGAAGCCATCAGAGCCTGGCGATCTCTCCTGGATGAAGATTGGAGAAGGTAAACGACATCTCTGGCGGATTGCTGATCCTACAAGGGAGGATAGTGTGTTTAGGCGTGTTTTAGCAAGAAATCATGGACCTTGCACTACACCGCCGGAGTGGATGCAGAACAACGACATCAGTCTTGTTCCAGAGAGCGTAAAGATTCTCTTCGGGATCACACAGTTGTCTAGTAAAGAGGATAATGTTTATCATCTCCCTGTTCTGATCTTGTCGCGGATTCGGCATTTACAACTGTCACATGGTAATGTGTTGGAATTCTTGTATTTTACAGCGTTCATTACGCCAGAGTTTCTAGAGTTGCTAGAGCAGAAGGATCCAAAGGCAGTGTTCTTGTTAGGTTGGTGGTTCCAAATGTGTCAGAATGGCACGCTTTGGTGGATGACTAGACGGGCTAGAGTGGAGGGTGAGGCTGTAAGGATATGGTTGAGTGTTGTTGATAGCAGACTTAATGATTTGTTGGAAGAGCTGGGTAGAAGAAGGGAGTTGGAGGTGAAAGAGGGGAGTTGGATACAAACGAAGGCGCAGAAGATCGACGATTCTGGTTTGGAGGTCAATTGGGCGTTGGACTCGAGGGGGAGGATATTAACGGTAGCGTGAAGACCACATATCGGTTGACTGATTAGCTACATCCACCTCTGCATTCCGCACACACTTTCGTTGAGCGAATGCGCAACAAGAGAAGTCTCGATGTGACAGATTGGTGACTCTGAGGTTCCTCAGAGATTCCGATTGCACTACGTTCTTGGTACTTGAACATCTTGGCCACGGAGTGGTATAGTCACTCCGCACTCCGCACTGCAACGACTGTAGAATATCTCCGAGCCTTTCTCCGACGCCCATCTCCGAGAGAGCAATGTCTTGGCTGACAAAGATCTAGACCTAACAAGACAAGATTGTGGTACCTGAGTCAAGGAACCGTGTTAGGAGTCATATTTACCAAACGCCCCTGCTTCTGGCCAATCAGGCAAGGACTTCCGCGTACGAATCGAATGCAAGATATACACTGACTTCGTCAATCGGCATTCTAGGTCGGCAAGAATTATATACTAGATGGTCTGTTCAAGGCAGAAAACTTCCAATATACAGGCTCTTTCAAAACAGGGGGGGGGGGCATGTCTAAGCTTTCTGTTCAAACTCGTAATCGTAAACTTATCATAGCATCATCTGGCAACCACGCGATTGACACAGCATACGCAGCGAATATAATTTCCAAGGAGACCATGATTGTTATTCCAGAGAGTGTTGTGTAGGTAAAGCTGGCCAGAATTCGGGGATACGATTACCTTCCGCCATACAACGATATTCGTACCATACTTGCATTTGACGGGAACCTGATCGTCGAAGGCTCCGCCGCTCTTGCTCTTGCCGAATACATTAAGATGTCGAAAACAATTGCTGGTCAGACTAGCGTTCTATTTTATGCGGTGGTACTCTCCATGGAGATACTATCAAGAGTGAGGTCCGAGGTCTTTCGGAGATGGCATAAATGTGAGTCATCTAGGGAGATCTTCGCAGCGTCTCGCAGTAGTCCCTTAATACATCACCAGCTAAGCCTATCAATTTGTCAGCGTAGAAGTTGTTTACTGAACGTAAGTCCGTCTATAATATAGCAATTCTTCTTAGGAAAGTGAGAGAGAAGAGCACACTTCCCCCCTGACTTGTATCAACTTAGAGCCGCCTATCAGCCCGAGCGGCTATGTCTTCAGAACTTGTGCTAATCACTGGCGGCACAGGTTTCATTGGCGGTCATGTTGTTCAGCAGACGCTGGAAGCTGGCTACCGCGCTCGCCTTGCAGTGCGGAGGGAGAAATCCATCGAGACGTTCAAGAAAGTCTTCTCGCAGCATCTCGAACAACTCGACTTTGTCGTCATCGAAAACATTACGAAAGAGCGTGCCTTCTCAGACGCGCTGGTTGGCGTCGACTACGTCTTCCATCTGGCATCGCCCGTCCCAGGAAAAGGCACTGACTTCAAGGAGGACTATTTGAACCCCACCATCAAGGGAACCATATCGCTGCTCGAAGCCGCCCAGTCTGTTCCGTCGATCAAGCGTGTCATCATCGACTCGTCCATGACCTCGTTAATGCCACTGGAGGTAGATGATGCCGACAGTTTTGAAGTTAAGGGTACGTCGTCAAACATTCTCAACGATCGAACGTACCTTCCCCTTTCGAACCTCTCCCTCCTCCACCTGAGACTACTACTACATCACTAACTTCATCTGCAGAGGGCACAAACCGCACGATTCGAATCGATCCAGACTCCCCCCTTGTCACGAGCCCCTCCGCTCCCACCATCGTCAAGTACAAAGCCTCCAAATTGCTCGCCCACCGCGCCTGCCTCGACTGGGTTGAGCAGCAGAGCACCGCCGGTAAGCTTTCATTCGCCGTCGTCAGCCTGCATCCTTCTATTGTTATCGGCCGTCACCTTCTACAGCCATCGCCTACAGTTCCAGGCAGCAGCAACGCGCACGTCTGGGACTCACTGTTCGCGCCGGAGGGACTGTTGCATGGGATTGGCGTTGATGTGCGCGACGTAGCAAGCGCGCACCTATGCGCGCTAAAGCCTACGGATGACGAGCTCGGTATCAAGGGCCAAGTCGCAGAGTTTTTGATCAGCGCGCCCGATTGGACGTGGCGAGGCATTGCAGATTTTGTGAAGAAGAGTTATCCGTGGCTTGCTGTCGCATTAGAAGATGGGCCATCGTTGAAATTGAGGACAGAGAGAGCGGAAACGGTGTTAGGAATCAAGTGGAGGTCGTTGGAGGATGCAGTCGGCGAACTGGTTGAACAGCAGATTGAGTGTGGGAACGTAAAGCCCTGAGCGAGTCCTGGCGGATGAACACGAAATTTAACAAGATGCCATGAGTATGTGCTTAGGAGCTGGCTACTACGATTGCTCCACGGGTACACTCTTCTGGTTTACTACGTCTATTGTAGTATGTAGCATTCATTCTTGCTTGCATTGAAATTGCCTGCACATGCCAAGTGTATGGTTCTAGCAGATTCTTCATTTCGAACCTGCTCCCTTCCCGCTTGAGTATCTTGCTACAACGTGTAAATGAATTCTGGATTCTCCCGATCTGTGAGATCAAGCCACCTAGATATATGATTAGCTTTCTTTGGTCCCATCCACGATATCTCATGTTTCAAACTTACTCTTGGTTGTCTAGCTTCACGTATTCAGGTGCCGCGCGAATCTGCGCCTTCTTCTTATTCTGCCACACGCAGTAGAAATGAATAAACGCTAAGATGCCTAAACAAACGACCCAACAGACGATGATGGTGATCTCGGCGGAAACGAAGCGAGGCGCATCTTGGGGACGGAATGTTTGTGGGCCTACAAATGATAGTCATGTCAGTCTATACTCCCCGATCTCGGAAAGCTATATTGGTAGTACGTACCAATGATGTTTCCGACGCAGTAACCAATCAGATACATAGCCGCCACAGTCGTCTTCTTTGTGTATCCTGCTACGTTACTCGAGATGAGACTGAGCAAAGCAACGAAAGGCGTAGGGCTAGCTTGCGTTAGGTAGTAGCCAGCGAGACGACCAGAGTTGTTGGATAGCGGAAGTGCAACAATGAGAACCATGCCAAGTATTGCAGTACACAGACCGATCATGGATATAAGGATACGGTAGCCGTATTTGTCGCCGGCCCAGCCGCAGGCAATAAGAAAGACGACTTCGACTGCGCCACCCGGTGTGCCGTAAAGAAGAGATTCCTCGGGTGTGTATCCAAAACCAACAATAAGTTGGGAGAAGAAGTTTGATATGCCACCTTGAAGATTTGTTAGCATCTATACTTGCAAGGACGTGAGCGCCGTGTCTTACCATTGGGTATATCAGCAATTAACGCATAAAAGAAGAACGCCCAGCTCAACGGATCAAGGAACGCCTCTTTTAACTGATACCACTTGAAGTGTTTGTTACCCACACCTTGCGCATTGACCCTGATCCGCTCGATCGCTAAGATCCGATCTTCCTTGCTCAACCACCTACAATTCAACTGGTTATCGGGTACAAGCCAAAGGAATGTGATACCTAGGCACATAGTGAGCAGTCCAGTAACGAGGAAGATTATCTTCCACGGCTCCAGAGTAGTGCCCGACTTCCGACAGCCGACAGCAATGCCATAAGCAACACATCCGCCGAATATTTGCGCAAAGCCGTTGAAACTGAACCAGATACCGGTACGTGAACCCTGTTCCTTCTTGGTATACCATTGCGATGTGAAGAGTGCGAAACCAGGTGTAACTGCTGATTCGAAGACACCGAGAAAAAATCTAATGGCGATCGCGCCGGCGTAATTTTCAACTGCGGCGAAGCAGGATAGTACAAGGCCCCACATGATGATGTTGAATGCAGCTTTGATATCATGTTAGCCAAGTCCAACTTTCGACCTCTCAAATTCCAGGGCAGAAGAGACGAAAGCGACATACAGTATTTGCCTAGCGGCAGAACTTGGAGTAATCGTGTAGTAGGATATTCGAAAGCAATGTATCCAAAGTAGAACATGCTACCTAGCCACGAGTACTGGTCTCCGACTAGACCGATACCAGAAGCTAGCTTGTTGTCTGAAGGAGGCAGTCGCAGGCCCATGATACTTGCGTAGCTCAACGTCGTCTTGTCAAGGTAGTTCAAGCCATACACAATGCACATAATCTACAGAGTTTGTTAGTCAAAGATCATGATTTACAAAGATATCGCAGAAGAATATATGCTTACAGGCATCATGTGCATATCGATCTTCCTTAAAAGTGCCTTGCTCTTCTCCTCTGTCAACTCCACAACCTGGCCTTCCATTCCCTCGTACGCCTTCATCGCCGCATCTGCATCGTGCGAGTGTTTTAGCAGTTTCTCATCGAGAACCTTTTTGATTCCTTTGCTGTTGTCTTCAACGATTGCTTCTTTCTCGACATCTGTCGGCGCGGTATTTGGTGGCGATATCGCTAGTGAGGGTGGGTGATCTGTGGCAGACGCCATGGCGTATTGTCTCCGCGTCGTTGTTCGAATAGCAGAACAGGCTAGAAGTTGCTTTAACCAAGGGTGAAGAGGCGCAAAGTTGAAACCATCAAACGTCTTCTGTCATAAGCTCATATACCGACCGTCGCATGGAAGATAGCAGTAGCAAGATGTCAATCGTGGCAAGCAGGCCGACAGAACAATAACTGATGGCTCAACGCGCCGTTGACGTCCATCCTTGTTGATAAGCTACCCCTGCCTAAACGCGATACACTTGCATCTGCCAGTGCTGTAGCCGTACCACTGCGGGGTATCAAGAGCGTTGATCCGCGGGCTATTCAAGATAGGCCAACCGTCAGCGAGAGCGCTACATGATAGACAAGTGACCTTCCATAACAGGAAGCTGCCTTAGGTGGTTGCTCCGAAAGATCGGAGATATTGAGTAATTGCCGTGATGAAGCTCTGCGGGGGCGCAGACAAGGCACTGCAAGAGTTGGGCTTGGTACGATAGTAGGCTTGGCTGTGTGCTGGTCGGGTGAAGGGGCTGGTGAGTGATGGTGATGATGTCAGTGCTGAAAGCTTATCGCTAGCCGCGATTAGACATGTTAAGCATAAAGCAACGTTAAAACTCTAAAGCAGACGTCTGAGCACGAGAGAAGCACTAGTTTGCAACGAACATATGGTAATGGCTCGAAGTTTGAATTTGCAGAGCAAGCACCTCGTAGCTAGCGTTAAACCATGAACTTCGTGACGAACAAAGTTGTGACAGTGACAAAAAACCGTGGAACTCCAGGCCCGAATATCGGCCGATGCTAAGAATCGCGCATCCCATTTCCCCCCCAACCTCAGGCTTATCATGATTGTGCATGTAGCCGTGATACCCGAACGCCGCCCATATGCAGTTCGTAAATGCTTCAGACAACCTCCCGCACTCGGAGAGAATAAAGAGTACAGAATTGAAGTGTCAGAAAGAAGAAAGACAAGATGCCACATCGCAGCAGGAGATGAAGAGTAAGACATAGACCAAAGCGCATCACTATGATCGCACGAACACGCTGTTGAGCTTGTTCAGCGCGCTGCTATCTGCAGCAGTGCTGTTCTTAGCAAGTCGTTCCGGCGCCAAGTCTCGGGGAAACCTCGTTGCAGTGTTAGGGCTGCGACTGCCTGAACGGCTGTTATTTTGGTTATCCTTGTCCTGATTTTCGCCGTTGAGGAGCGATCCCAATGTAGGAAGTGGTCTTGATGCTGCTGGGGCTGCGCTATTTGACTCGGGTGCTCGTGATTCAGACTTGTCTGAGGGCTCTGGAGTCGGTGGCTTGTTCGCACCTGCGGCGGCGGCAGCGGCAGCACCGTTAATGGCAGGAAGCTGGGGGCCTTGCTCAGGAATCGCTGGTGCGGGCGCTGGAGGAGGTGCAGGCGCACTGGAGCGCTGAAGGTGTGGGTGTTGAGCCTGCTCAGCTGTGGAGGGATGGCGAACCGGTGGTGTCGCCATGTATTGTTGAGCAGCGTGCGCGGCATGCGCGGCGTAGGCGGGGTGCTGCATTAGCATAGGATGGTGGCCTTGAGGAGCGTGAGGGTGTGCGATTGGTGGGGGCGGGCGATCAAAAACGTGTTGCGGGTGATATTGGGGCTGCGCGTAGATAACGCCCGGGTAGAAGTAAGGATGCTGGGAATAGTATAGCGGAGGTGTACCATTTGGCGGCGTGGGAGGGTAGACTGGGACCGCATACATGGGTGCGACAGGACCACCGCGAGTGTACGGTGATGAAGGCGCCATGCTATGTCCAGGTGCGCTGTATGGTGAGCCAGGCATGGGACCACGAGTGACAGCAGGTACAGTCTGGGTTTCATTCACTGCCGATTCGGGGTACATGTTCTTTGGTGGGCGGATGTGTCGCAGTTGCGCGTCGTTGGTGGGCTGTGGGAGGTTGTTGGAGTTTGATCGCGAATAGTAGCTGATGAGGTGGAGGTGCTGTCCGCTCTGGGTGGTTATGCTGAAGGACTGCTTCATGAGACCATCAGGCTTGTACCGGTAGCCGTCGGGTCCCTCGCCCTCTGAGTCGCCGGAGCCGGAACCGTCTGGCGACTTTCCACTTGCTCTTTTAGCTACGGGAGCTGTGGGTACTGCGCTGCCTCCCCGTTTGCCCTCCATCTCCCGGTATGTGAGGAAGCTGCCAGACACGCGACTCGCACTCCATGACTTTCCGTCGGTCCACCGCCTCATGCCAGCCTCGCGCTCGTCCCATACAAATACTGAGCCAGATTTGATCTGCTGGCGTTCCTTTTCGGATAGGCGGCGCTGCACTCGCGGTAGTATGCCGATGCGGCAGGCCTCAAACAAGATGATGGCATCGTTAGGCGTGCGGACATGTCCGTGGTAGGTCTCCATTGCGAAATGTTTGTGGAGGGGATGTAGTGGTGATAGTGTCGAGGCGTCAAGACCTCATCGATGCTAATCGGCTTGCGTTAGTCCAAATTGTAGGATAAGTTTCTTGGATGCAAGGCAATACGACAGTTGTAATGGCCTTGGGGTGCAGGGTTTCCGGCAAAGTCGGAAAAAGTGACGGTGCGCATGCATGAAAGTCGGAATATTGCAAACCAAGGAACAGCGAAGCGAAAACGGGGCAGCAGAGGCCGCAAGCAGGCACGAAACATAAATAGAGACTTACAGTAGGGCGTGTAACTGTGACGAGCAGTGTCTACAAAGCCGCGGCAACCTCTATATGGGGCAGTGCGATGAGATCAAGTGTGTCGAGGTCCGGTGACGTGAAACGGGCCGGCAATGAAACAGAGTCAGCGTATTAACAGGCGTGCGCGGCAATGGTCCACTTGGTAGGGACGCGGCGTTGAGTGACGGAAGCTGGGGAAGATGAATCGGAGGGCGAAACTTTTGGAAAGGCAGCAGCAGTCATCCGCCCTCATGTACTCGCAGCAGCGCGGTCTTGGGACCCAGCAATGTTTCTTTGGCGTCTTTGGCTCTTTCTGGGCGCTGGGGTCGTCGTCTTGATCGCCCGCCGAGACGTGGAGTGGCGTCTGATAGCGAAATAAGGCGCGCGACAAGCTTTATTTGGACCCTCGTTAGCTGCTCACTGGCCGTCCGTTCCAGCGGAGCCACCCAGGAGCGTCCACAGAAGAACCCACACACACAGCCCCCAATATCCATCATGCCGCCCTGTGCCACCAAACAACTCGCTCCAAAGACATGCAGCGTCGTTTGCAGGGAGCTGCTATGTTAGCGGCTTGCATACGCCGAAGCCACTGCGCGCCCAGTCTGACCCAGCGCCCAGCGGCGTTGGCCTCGATCAGCCAAGCTTTACCAGTCGGATAACTCTAAACGAATCTTTATTTTCGACAAGCCTTCGATCCCTTGGCGGACCCACAACGACCCCAGTGCTGACACCTCCCAAGACTTCGCGGTGTGGCCCATCAGTCCGTCAATCCGACTTGTCCTCCTTGGCCCCGCTAGTAGCAATACACCAAGCACAGCCAAGGCGTTCCAAAAAGTCCGTGTCGACCCAAAACCAACTCACTTTCCAGTCTGCTTCAGATTGTGGCAGGCCATGGCATGCTTGGCCTCCATCCCCTAAGAAATCTCCACCTGTCGTGCGCTCGGCGCCCTTGGTAGCGGACAAACATCTGACCTGCAGGAGAAAGGAGCTTCCTTGGTGTAGCGAAGGATTACTTACACGGCCCGGCTAACGTATACTCATCTTGTGCCGCTTGCCCTCCAAGGTACACTGTATTCGTCTTTGGTACACGCAAGCTAACGACCGCCTGCAAAACTTGCTGCGTGGCGTGGAGACTGCGCCCGCCAACCAGGCCTCCGCTTTACAGGCTTCACTCCGCTCTTAGAACAGACATCCGCTCTGGTCCACAGTAACGTAATCCAGCGCCTGCTGCTTCTCAGCTCATTCGCTTAAATGCTCGGCCAACACTTTGATTAAGCTTGGTGCCTGCGGTTTAAGCTTACTGCCGTCCCACGAGCATCCGACTTACCCACGCTGGCGGTATCACAGGGCCATGGCATATACGCTTCCATAGGGAAAAGCTGGATAACCAAGCTGTCGAGACTCCTCACTTCAGTACAGTCATCGTGGCAGTGCTTTGCCAATGACGATCTCTCACTTCCCGCGAGATTCCGCAACATGGTCTACCAAGTTGGCAGCGGACCTTCTCCTCATCGTCAAGACTTGCCCAAGACGATAGAGTATGAACGGGTAGTCGTACAAGACGCCATGGAACCTAGCGTCTCAGCTGCCCGAGAGAGACAAAGGCCCGAGTCCAATCCATTGGCGCAGTCACACTCAAGCCTGCCAAGTAGCAGACAGGATTGTTGTTTCCATAAGTGGCCAAGGCCGCCTTTCTCCACGTTCACGACAGCGCCCGCTGCTTGTCTTATCAGCGCACTCAGCACTCATTCAAAAGCCGCGTCATCCGACTTGTCAAGCCTGCCCAGCGTTGGCTTCTCCACATGCCGGATGAATTCATCATAGGATCGGAGTTGCTCCTACATCCTTCCATTCAAACTAACCACGAGCTTGAAGAAACCATTCTGTTTTCTCGCGAGCAAGCTTTTCTACTCCGAAATTGCCATGTGCGTGAATAAACGGTGATCCGCGCGCTCAGTAATCGAATGTTTCGCTTACATCTGCAAGGTTGCAGATAAGGTTGGCGCAGACTTAAGCATAATTTCCTTTCCGCTGCTATCCCCGGGGTTTGGCCCTCGCCAAAGACACCCCTCCCAAGTATGAGTCGCACTGCCCCGTCAGCCATGATTTGCTCGTATTATGAACCCGCTCAGATCAGCTTCACATGCGCAACGTGTCCACTCGCAATTTTTGCCCTTGATTGCGACTGCCTGGTCGCTTTCAGCTCGCCACCTGCCAAATGCGAAGCACTGGAGCGATAACAAGCCCACGTGCTCTGAGCCGCAAGTCCAGAACTGCGCCATCGGAGCGTCGTACCGTAAACTGGCAGCTCCTAGCACGCGATTTGAGGGGTCATCCGGAACCGGTGGAAAA